TTAATATTCCTAGGTAGAAAAAGACAAACGTAGATAAAGTACCTTTTATTTCCCAATGACACAAGCGACTTCCAGCGCGAGAACCCCTGACTGACCTCAATGTTGGGATATAAATGTAATTAATTGGAGGGGAAATATATAAATTAATAAAATGATTAATATGATGAAATGTAGGATTAAACAAATTTAACAGATCCAAAAAGTATAGATCTATAAAATCAAAACAAATGATCTGACATAGCAAATGAATATGAAGATGCAAAGGCTAATTCATTATTTGCATGTGAATGTTATATTTAGCTTTTATTGATCGTTATTACATCTGTTACGAAATAATTTCGTTAAATATAGCATTAATGTAGTATGACAGTGGATGGTGGAAGCATGTTTTAAGGACCTAACTGCATAGCCAGAGTCCTTGGACACACACCTGTCTCTTATACACATCTAGATGTGTATAAGAGACAGAGGTGGGGCTGATGGGTGACGGGAAGGAGGCTTCATAATTTGTGAGGGACGTTACCTTGCAAAATACTGTAATTTTTTGTGATTTTTAACTACTTAAAGTATGACATTTTTAGTGGGGAAGAGAGGACTGGGGAAGCATGAGTATTTTTTGGAGGGGCGTATGTATGCATTTGTGTTCATGATTAGGCCTATATAGATTATGAAATAGCCTTCATAATATGTGATAGTACCTAGAAACAACTTGCTGGGTAATGCATACCACTGTACATTTGAAATTTAGACAGTAGAGGAATTTGAACACTGTTAGTACTATTTACAATAACATCTAATTAAAATATATGTCATGCTCTGTGATTTTGACCATCTATCTCAAATCCCATATTTCATTGCCCTCTTTGTTGAACTGGCCCAACCAAGGTATCTAAATGACACCATAATGTCTGTATTTAGACTAACCATTATCACTAATGGGATAATGAGTTTACCATCGTCTTACATGGTGGTATCCTAAGGTATTCTATCCCTTCTTTCTTGACTGAGCAAACTTGATTATTCATACAGTTTAAATGTAATGTATGATTAAATTTTAGCTTTTCCTAACATTTTTGTATCTCATTTGAGATCCAGCAATCATTACCCACAGTTTTTAGTATTTTGACTTTTTATTGCTGACTTTACACCATGCACTAAACATTATCAGATCTACAAGGTGACTATCCTAAAGGACTGAACTGGTCACTGTCCTGTATTTATCTTGTAGCCTTAATGAAATATTTTCTTTGGATGTGAACAAATAAAAATAGATAAACATATGGATGAGTAGAGGAGGTAGGGTGAGACCAGGAGTAAATTACATTCTTGTGACCCAGCTGAATTAAAATATACACTAAAAAAAAAAAAAAACAATAAAATTTTGCCCATGGACTCGGTGTTCTTATTTTTTGGCTGATTTCAGGCTCAAAATGTTCTTATTTTGTTCTTGGTTTACACACCTTTTAAACAAAAAATGATTTAATTGTATGGCAGTACTGTACTGGAATGTAGATGAAAGCGACCCTACAAACAATTGCCCCCATCAGATAGGTACACCTACTGTACTGTATTATAGAGGGTATTACAGTCACACCTACTCGCATAATGTACAGATATAATATTTTGGTTTTTAAAAATATGAACCTCATTTGAAATTTTACCTCAGCCTCAATTTGTTCTTATTTTGTTCTTAATTTTTAAGCAATTTCGGCCTCTGTGTTTTTATAAAAAAAAGTGTACCAGTAATCGACAGAATATATAGTACCTTGTAATAGCTTCTACCAAATTTGTAAAAGATATATGAATGTAGGCCTCAGTTTGTATGTGTGTGTGTGTATGTATTTAACAACTTGCTATGAGTAACCTTGCTTCTGTGAATTCCTAACAT